AAAAAATTGGCGCCTAAAATTTTGGAGATCATTTAAACCAGGAGGGAAGATTTTTGTGTAGTTCAGACGTGGTTTTTGTCGGTGATTGACTAACATGGCTCAAATTGCGAAGCAGTTTTCCTGGATTGTCAGACGTGATATTCGTCAGTGTTAGGCACTGGGCACGAGGCTGCTGTGTAAATGCAGACGTTATGCTTGTCGGTGATTTACCGATGTGGAACCAGAGATGTTTTCTAGTGAAGTGTTCCGGCTCCCTCTTTCCAAGACGTTCTTTGTCGGTAATTAGGGGTACGTTTACCGACGTGATTTCCATCTACGTCGGTGTTTGAATCACCGAGCCCGGCTTCACCGAGCAACCCAACACCGACGTGATTCAAGTGGGTATAGGACTTCACCAACCAGATTCCCTCTTGTTTCCGACATGGCTGCTCGTCGGTGATACAGTGAATTCTTGTAGTGTTGGTAGATTTTAAGGCGATCCAACCTCCAGTCCGCCACCTAAAATTAAAAGTATTATCTGATTTTTGTCTGTTCTTTATTTGTTATTTCTCCATCTTCATATTCCCCTTTGCTAAAAAGAACATCCAAAAAGAAAAGCATAAACTAATGCTACTTGTACGAAACAATCTTCCAATAAAATCTCACAAAATACCGCGGTTCACTTGACTAGTTGTTTTTTTATTTTATTTTTTTTTAACATAAAAAATTTGGGGTCGAGGGAAGGGGAAGGAGTGGGAAGTGAACCCCACACCCTTAGGTGAGAAACCCTCTAACGATATTGAGGTGGCCACTTGTCACGCCCCAGAATCCAAATTCGAGGCACGACAAATGCCGTGCACTCATGAGACGGGTCCCACAAATGCACAAGACTCGAAACTTAATCATATCATACTCTAATACCATCAAAATCTGAAGATCAAATCTTTAAAATTTACTTTGATATCATAAAATCTCCAAGTACACTCTAGCTTACAAGATCATGATTTCTAGAATCTATATCAATCTCGAAATGGCTAGCCATCTAACTCGTCACTTCCCGCGGATTCTCCGTCCTCGGTTTCATTTCTTGAAATGGTGGACAAGGAAAAACTATGAGATAAACTTAGTAAGTAAATATGGATTGCCCTTAATTAAACTTATAGCATGCCAACATGTGCAATCACGAAAAACGGATATAATACGGGAACGAAATAGACGTCTCTTTTATAGGTCATGGCCAGCATCTAACACCCACTGGCAGGCGCACTGTTTGCTGGTGTATAATCCCCACAAGCAGGGTCACTATTTGCTGGTGTATAATCCCCACAAGCAGGGTCACTGTTTGCTGGTGTATAACCCCCACAAGCAAGGTCACTCAACGAACCGGTTCTATCAATAACATGTCGACATGTGCTAGCGTTTATAACCTCCCCCACTAGCAGGGTCACGAATAACATATCGACATGTGCCGACATGTGCTAGCGTTTATAACCTCCCCCACTAGCAGGGTCACTAATAACATGACCACATCGGAGACAAAACAGGCAGAAGTTAATAGGAAAATCACAATTCACAATCACTTTCAGATCATCAGGACAGTCACTTAAATTTCAAGTAGGCATGCTCAATTTAATGAAAAGCATAAAACATTTCACTTCAAATCACTCATACTTGTGTAAAACGGGTTTAGTCCCGCCACCACTTCAAAAACAAATCGAAACATGCTTTTAAAATCGAAGGGCGTTACCATAATCTACTTACCTCACTCGCATAAACTGAAGATTCAATCTCAATGCTAACTGACAGAACGATCAGAAACCTAATCAAAATATCCACAATTAATCATCATATCACCACAAATTCAAATTGAAATTATCATTAGGATCACCCCTAATCCCGATGCTATTCCTATCAATCTCCACATGATCAAATATCTCCAAATTCATTTTTATATCACAAACTAATCACTTAAATCCCCGTTAATTGTCGGCCCTCGGTGTGTGAACAGTGTTATGTGAACAGTACCACGAACAGTGTTCGGTGAACAGTGTTCTGTGAACAGTACCACGACGTGAACAGTACTCTAACTTCCAAAAATTGGCCAAAACACTTGCTAATTCACGGGATTTTCTCCAAAAATCACACAGTAGACAATTAACACTCAATCACATAAATCCCACTTAAATTAATACTTAAACTTCATCCTAAAGCTACCGGAATTATCCCCAAATTGTCTATCAAATTCGGACAACACAGCCAACAAACTATTTTCTCACACAAAGGTCCTTAACTTAATGCTAAAATATCACAAAATTTTGGGGTATTACACCACTTGAGCCACCATGGGTTTCTCGACTAGTTGCCTTTTTACGGTGAGATGCATTACTGAAAAAACAAGCAAGCCATTTATTGTCCCATAGTTTTGTGAGAAATTTTTCTGCTTGTAGTTTTTTTTGCCATTTGCTTTGTTTTTAAAACCAATTTTAATTTGCACCTGTGCTTTGTGACCCATGATAATGCCCATTGTAAAGTATATCCGTAGTAGTAGGATTGGGGTTCGAATACCCCTCTTTCAAAATTCTAGCCCATCCAAAAAGAAAAAAAAATCCAATTTTAGTTCTTTCATTAAAAAAAAAGTTATTTTATTTTATTTTTATGACATTGAAAGTTTTTTTAATTTAATTAAATAATTGAAAAAGTTTCTTAATTGAAAGCCATGAAAAAAAAAAGGTATTTTTCATGATGAAAACGAAGAATCCTCACTACACCCATTCCACTTCCCTTCTCACCCCACCCCACCCCACCCCACCTGCATGGAACTTACCCCACTGCTTCAAATCTCTTATTTTAGTGAAATAATATTATCACTAAGCCACAATTAGGGCCTGCTTCTTATGGTAAGTTTTTAATTAATCATTGACGTAGTAAATCTTATACATTCAAAAATGAACTCATTTCATGCATGATGACTTCATCAACATCATGTTATAAATTAATTTAATTTTTTGCCTTCATAGCAGATGCAAAGTATGATTTTCTTAAAATTGAATCAACAAACATCAAAAGGATTGAAATGAAGCCTCAGCGTTTGTTGGTTCCATTTATCATTCTTAAATTAAAATTTCAGGTCCAGGATGTTCTTCACTTGCGTTTGGAGAAGCAGAGGAGTTGGGACCCTTTTTCCCGCAGAAAGACGTTCCCCATCTGAAACTTAACCCTTACAGTTGGAACAATGGTACCCACTTCTTTTTTCTTTTTCTTTTTCTTTTTTTTTCTAAAAAAACAATTGAATTATTTTCATTATCTAACGCAATTATATTTCTCATGACTAACGTAGCTGCCAATTTACTGTTTATTGAATCCCCTGTTGGTGTTGGGTTTTCTTACACCAATACCAACAGTGATACGAGCCAACTTGGTGATGCAATTACAGGTAATTAATAGTTTGAACGTATATTTTCCTGAGAAAATTTTTCTTTCCCTGATCACCGGCCTGTTTACACATTACACGTTAACAGCCCAAGATTCATATGCTTTTCTTGTCAACTGGTTCCAAAGATTCCCACAGTACAAGTCCCATGACTTCTACATTTCCGGTGAAAGCTATGCAGGTACATTCAAATTTTGGATCTCCACATCAGCTTGCATAGTTTTTTTTTTGTTTTTTGTTTTTCTGTTTTTAAATTATACAATCTCCTGTACCGCTCATGCTATGATTAGAACCGCAATACAATTTGATACCACGAAGAATAGAATTCTTCAGTTTTCGTTATTATGATTCATTTCATACGAATTTTCCAGGGCATTATCTTCCAGAGCTAGCCGAGGTCATTTCAGATAACAACAAGATAGTTCCCAAAGCAGACTACATAAATCTAAAGGGCTTCATCGTAAAGTTTCTTAATTTTTTTTTCTTGCTTTTTCTACACAAATTTAACATTTTATTCAAGTTAGTCCTTTTTTCTTGACTTGAAATGAAATGCAGATGGGGAATTCGTTGATGGACGATGAAACAGACCAGATAGGCATGATCGATTATGCTTGGGATCATGCTGTCATCTCCGATCGTGTCTACCAGGAAATTAAGACCAATTGCAACTTCAGTATGGAAAATCTAACTGACAGTTGCAATAACGCCTTATCAGAGTATTATAAAGTTTACACCATCATAGATATGTACAGCTTGTACACTCCCACTTGTGTTAATAGCAACGGCAGCACTATTGGACAACGTCGAGGCATTGCCCCTAAAAAGCTTTCCAAATTCGTAAGTTCAATTTTGGGATTTTTTATTTATGATTCTAATAAATCAGCTATTATAAAAAACCTGTTAAGTATTTTGCAGTCTGTATTGAATTATGAAGAACTCAAAATGTTGCGAGAGAGCATTAGCATTCAATAGTTAGTGTTTTGTGGTCAAATATGATTCGGATAACAAAACAGAAGTCTGAGAAGAATGTAAAAAGATTAGGTATACACGGGTGGAATTGAACCTAAAAATAGATTTTGGTAGAAAGAAATGTAAAAAACACTTATTTTAAGAAGTGAACTAAGGGTTCAAAATTAAAACTGTTCAAATTTACTGGAAAATGAACCAATATTTTTTTTGGGGGGTGTTATGACCCTTCTAACTCAATGTGTCAGTCATTAATCATAAAAGGGAAATACTATAAATTCTAAGAAAATTTTATTTGAGTTTATTTTAAAAAATATTAACAAGCTTTTATACAGGATGGATGGTACAGGAAATATTATGGGTACGACCCTTGTGCACAAGAGTACGTTACAGTTTACTTCAACAAGCCTGATGTTCAGAAAGCACTTCATGCCAATGTTACCAAAATCCCCTATCCATGGGCTAATTGCAGGTGCTAAATTTGTGCTTAAAATTTTGATTCAAATTTTTTTTTTTTTTTTTGAGTTAGTTCTGTTCTAAACCTGATTAAATATTAATTTTGGATTAAACATTAAAAAAGTTTTTTATTGAATTAAATTAAAATACGTAATTTGTGTTTTGTTTACAGTGATAGCATTTTTGAATTATGGAATGATTCACCATTTTCAATGCTTCCTATAATTAGAAAGCTTATTGCTGGAGGCCTTCGCATATGGATTTACAGGTAAATATCATTTGTTTTTGCCAAAGGTAAATATCAAATGATTATGCTAAAGGGAGGTGTGAATTGACAACATCTTTGAATTTGGGGTTCAAACTGAAAACAAACACAAATTTTTGTAGCTAATTCTGATGGTGTTGCACAAGTACTGACTCTTCATTTATTTATTTTTATTTGCAGTGGAGATACTGATGGAAGAATTCCCGTAACCGCAACAAGATACACTTTGAGAAAGCTTGGACTTAGTACAATTAAAGAATGGACACCGTGGTACTCCCATCAGCAGGTAATAAATTCTTTATTTTTATAAAAAAAAAAAATTCTGAATCTATATTTTTTTAGAAAAAAAAAAAGAGAGAGAAAAATGAGAATTAATGGGTTTGGAATTGGATTTATAGGTTGGTGGATGGACCATTGAATATGATGGATTGATGTTTGTGACAATTAGAGGGGCTGAGCATGCAGTCCCTGTTTTTAAACCCAAGGAAGCACTGCAGCTTATCGAGCATTTCTTGGCCAATCAGACCCTTCCAACTTCCCCATTTTAGCACTTAATTGTTTACTTTATTTATTTTGTATGTGTTTATTTGGTTTAAATGTTGAAATTCGGGTGGTTGATAGCAAATTGCTGATATGGCAATGGTTGATGTGTTGTAGTTAATAATTGTTACTAATCGAGATGCAGTTGAAGAAGCCGTGTTACTAATCGAGATAATTGTATTGTTATGTTGTTAATTGTTGTCTCTTGTCAAATGATGAATAAATGATGCGTTATATATCAATTTTATTAGTTTTTATGAAGGGTAAATTTAAAGGATTGAAAAAAAAGACATTTTGATAATTAAAATATCAAAATTGATGATAAAAAAAATTAAAATATTTTTAATAAACTAATACATAAAGATATTTTTAAATAATTTTAAAAAGAATCCACATTTAAATGTTAAGTTATCTTGATTTTTATTTTTTTTTCTAAATTTAATATTTAATTCTATTAACCAGTTTGCTAAAACTTTAAAAGTATCAAAGTGGTCTATCCATTAACTATCCATTAACTAAGAGATGGGAACTTCATGTTGTTCTTTTATTCGGATTGCCCTCCTCTTATTGCTTCCTCCTGCAACAATCCTCCTCTTGTAACATCCAATTAAACATAAATCTCTTTCTTAATTAATCAAATATGGATTGTGCTCCCAATCCTTTTTCTTGGAGACCCCATGAATAGAGAGTAAATATGTTAATAAGGATATCAACTTTGCACTTTTTTTTTATTTAAGAATATTAATTTTATCAGTTTCTAAATAAAAATGTCAACTTTTAATTTTTTTTATTTAAGAATATTAACTTTCAATTTTTTCTATTTAAGGATAACATATTTTTTTAGGTTAAATACCTAAATTAGTCCTTCAACTTCAATTTTCAACACCAATTTCATCTTTCTGTCAATTAAGTGCTAATGTAACTAATTTTTCTACTAAGTGATTGACTATTTTACATTTTCAATATTAGGTGGAAAATCCATCATGTAAAAGATGATTATATGGATTTTCTTAATTTTAAATAATTTAAAAACTACTTTAATTCTTAATTTTACTTTATTTATATTTAAAAATTAAAATAATTAATATATTTTCCCATTTAATTAGTCCCACCTACCATATGTAACTCTTAATTTATAAAGAAATAAATTAACTCTCATTTAATTTTATTAAATCAAATCTCACCTACTATAATTATTTTCTAATTCATGGAAGAATTAATTAACTTTTATTTAATTTTATTAAATGGAATTAAAATACAATTAAAATAATTTTTTGGTTCTTCTTCCTCGACCTTCTTTTTTGTTTAAATTATTAAAATAAATTGTAATTATTTCCTAATTGATTCTTTCATGATTAAATTCCATTTAATAAAATTAAATAAAAGTTAATTGATTCTTCCATGAATTAAGAAATAATTATAGTAAGTGACATTTGATTTAATAAAATTAAATAAGAATTAATTTATTTCTTTATAAATTAAGAGTTACTTATGATAGGTGAGACTAATTAAATGTGAAAATATATTAATTGTTTTACTTTTTAAATATAAATAAAGTAAAGTTAAGAATTAAAGTAGTTTTTAAATTATTTAAAATTAAAAAAATCCACATAATCATCTTTTACATGATGGATTTTCCACCTAATATTAAAAATGTAAAATAGTCAATCACTTAGCGGAAAAATTAGCTACATTAGCATTTAACTGACGGAAAGATGAAATTAGTGCTAAAAATTGAAGTTAAAGGACATTTTCGGTACTTTTTGAAGTTCAACAATGAATTTGTTCAAAAATAAAAGTTGATGGACCAATTCAGGTATTTAACCTAAAAAAATATGTTAGCCACGTTAGCATCACCACCCAATTAAACCATAAATAGAAAAAGTTGAAAGTTAACATCCTTATTTAGAAAAAAAATTAAAAGTTGACATTCTTATTTAGAAACTGATAAAATTAACATCCTTAAATAAAAAAAGGTATAAAGTTGATATCCTTATTTGCACCTTTACTCCATGAATAGAATTAGATGAACTTTTGTCATTTGTTGCTTCGTGAAAAATCATGTATTCACATCGCTAGCTAGTTTTAGCCATGTGGTACTAACTTTTTACTTGCAGACAATCTCTTTCTTCTTTAAGGCTTCCTAGAACTCTTAGAGAATAAATACCAAGATATAACTAATTAATAAATTACTTGATATGAAGTGTCATATATATGAGAACAAACTTTCTTTAACTTGTTTATAAGTCATATACAAAATTTCTCTTAGCAAATTTCAAAATTAGTGAGAGAGCAAAGAGCTTTTAAACTGCTTTACTTTAGACCTCTGTTAAGGATGCCTTTATTCAAGAAAGTTTTGGGGTATTTGATTGGATTTGAGAAGGTGCATCAAAAACAAAAATTAAAAATTTATCCACTTTCAACTCACCTAAAATCTTTATGAATGATCCATTAATAGTTAAAGAAAGTTCATGATCATTTGCCTAATAAGTGTGCCTCATTGTGTAGCTCTAATCCGACACCTTTGAATGAAGCCTAGAGTCTAAGTATAGAACTCCTCTAACAATAAATTTGAAGAAGCTAGATGTCTAAAGTGCTAGCTAAAGTAAACCTATTTTGATCTTCGTCCTTTTGGTAGAGAATATTTGGTAGCCTAAATTCTACAATAAGAATTATTTTTTCAACATCTATTTATACTAATAGGTCATAGTGTTGGGTTTCAGGAGGACATGGTGAAAGCAAAAAATTTCAAAAATTTAATCTTGTCCCCTCTCAACCCACCTAGGAACCTTATAACTCCATTAATAGTTAAGGAAGGCTTTATAACCAATACCTCAATGATATGTGCCCCATTGTTCCCTAGATTTGACCACCGTCCTTTGGTAAAGCTACAAAATAATCCAAGTGTAGAATTTCTAAAGCAATGTTCTGCACGTATGCATGAGGAATTGAAGACGATTGGATCGTCAATGGTGCTAGCAATGAAAAACCTAGTTGAATCTCCTTTAGCTTTCAATAAAGTAATTTTAGTGGCCTAGAATTCTATGATAGAAAATTAATTCTAGGGTTTCTATTTTTTACTCCTATTTATATTAATATGAAATAGAAGATTTGTAATTATAATTAAATTAGAATTACCTTGGTCTTCAAGTTAAAATAGAAATCATAGAAGAAAATGAATTTTTCTCCTTTCCTTTTTTCCTTCTTCATTGCCACACATCGTAGTTCGTGTTGGACTAGGAGTGTTAGCCATGGGCTCCCTTGCCCATGTGTTACCTAAGCCCGAGCCCAATGTGCTAGGGTTTTGATCTATTAATCCTTTAAGGATTGAAAGAGCACCACCTTAGATTTTTTTTGTCCTTAACTTAGAACAAATCCAAACTTGAATTAATTAAATTAAATTAAATTAATTCTCTGCGAATTTAATCCAAGACTTTATCAATTAATTTATTTCTCTTGTAAAAGTGCTACTTTCACATAAATTAATCAATATCCATAAATTAATCAATATCCATAAACTTGAATTTATAAAAATCTCAATCCCTAAAACACATTATGTGATCATTTAGGTTTCTATCACAATGGTAATGAAAAACACTAGTAGACCAAGAGTGATGTCAATATTAAGCAACACATTATGACCACCCACATGTGATAAATAACTTCATAAGAAGAAGTCTTACCACTTAACAAAATATCACACATGATAGTCTTTACATCATTACTATCCTATCTCAATGTCATATATAACTAGTGGACAACTTAAGAATGTTGCAACATAGAACACAGTTCTCATCAATAACAATAACTACTTCTAACCAAAAAAAAAAATAAAAAATTGTTATTACCTTTTGATGCATCAAATATTTTAAGGACTTTTATCGACGTTGAGTAATAATTAATGTTTGATAAAAAATACCATAAATATAATGAATATAATCAAAAGTACATGAGATTGTCTTGCCAACTTAATTGGCTCATAGGGCATATTCTTACATAGAAACATAATGTCTCTACTAGTATTAAAAGATATGTTGATTTCTTCATGAATAGAAAACAAATAGAGTCATTTTACTTCTATCAACTACTACAATCAAAGGGCATAAAGAAAGTATGCTTCATAACAAGAAGAGAACAACACTAGAAAAGGGTAAGCCTATTTGTCATAATTCAAAATTTTGCTAAAAAAATATTTTAATTACATGAAGAATAAATTGAAAATTGCCTTAAAATTATCTTAGTATGCCTTATTTTCTATATTTTCAGGGATTCGCCCATGAAAAAAATGGAAAGGGCTTGAAGAGAATTGGAAGGAAGTGTTAAAATTGGACTCAATTGAAAATTTTGCAAAAGAGGGACTAAAAAGCTCAAAAGTGGTGAAGGTTGCAGAATTGACCCGTTCATAGCGCAAACCTATTCAAGGCAGAAATGCAATCACAACTCGATCCAGCCCATTTTAGGCTACCCTCCCATGCACACCGTTTAACACGCCTCCCTAAACAAAAAGGTAAAAGGTGTGATTACCCCTAAAATTATCGGGTTAAAGTAAATTATAATAAAAAAAAATTTTAATGTAATTTATTATATTAAATTTAT